AGTCATCCTTAGTTCCAGCTGTCACTCTCCTGCGATGACATGTCAGAGTGTCTGAGTGCTGCAGTTTTATTAATGTGGTCGAGGGTCAAAATCTATGTGCTCCAGAGAGGATTCTGTCACTGACTGGAGCAAGTGACGACATTATTCTCACTTTCTCTACTGCCTTTTTAAATAATTGCTGCTGAGTTTAAAATATTTTGCAAATATAAGAAGTGGCTGCACTTTGAGCTCCCACCAAGATAGATATTTTTTGTTTGTTCTAGAAATTAAAATAGCATCTTTCACCTTTATTAAGGTTGTTCTTCATAATGTGTTTTATTCTATTACACTCAAACAGCACTTCTTCTTAAACAGCTGAATTCTATGTGTGCAACATGTTTTGTCTGCTGTCAGTAGGGATGTTGGAGGTATTGCTGGGTTTTAGTGTCTTACCTGCAGACACTAACACACATAAGACATTAGACAATCAATCAATCAAACAACTGACTGGAAGATGACTTCTGTTGTGTTGAACAGCTTATTTCTACATTTTTAATCTTGGTCTCTTCATGAACAGTATCAGTGGTATTAGTGACTAAAGATATTTATTTATTAACAGGTATGTAAATGATAGTAAATAAAAACAGTATTTAATGACATAAGTTGTTGTAAAATCCAGCAACAGTAAATCACAAATCTTTCAACTTAGTAAAGGACTTGAAATATGAATAATCAGTCAAAAAATAAGTTGAAGTCATCCAGTAATTCTAAACCATGATGAGAAGGACCAGGTTATTTGTGCATTTTCACAGAAACAACTTTCACGTTCTTTCATGTTGAGAGTGAAGTAAAAATATGAAATCCGTCCATCTGTCCGTTTTCTGCCGCTTGTCYGGGGTCGGGTCACGGGGGCTGCAGCCTAAGCAGAGAGACCCAGACTTTCCTCTCCTCAGCCACTTGGGTCAGCTCATCCAGGGGAATCCCAAGGCGTTCCCAGGCCAGCCGAGAAACATAGTCCCTCCAGCGTGTACTGGGTCTTCCTCTTGGCCTCCTCCCAGTGGGACATGCCCGGAACACCTCACCAAGGAGGCGTCCAGGAGTCATCCTAACCAGAKGAGCCATCTCAACTGGCTCCTCTCGAYGTGGAGGAGCAGCGGCTCTACTCTGAGTCCCTCCCGGATGACTGAGCTTCTCACCCTATCTCTAACTGAGAGCCCAGACACCCTGCGAAGGAAACTCATTTCGGCCGCTTGTATCCGTGATCTCATATTCTTTCAGTCACTACCCAAAGCTTGTGACCATAGATGAGGGTAGGAACGTAGTTCAACTGGTAAATCGAGAGCTTCACTTTCTGGCTCAGCTCTCGGTTCAACATGACAGACCGGTACAGCACCTGCATCACTGCAGACGCAGCACCAATCTGCCTGTCGATCTCCCACTCCATTCTTCACTCATTAGTGAACAAGACTCCGAGAAACTTAAACTCCTCCACTTGGGGCAGGACCTCCTCCCCGACCCGGAGGCGGCACGCCACCATTTTCCGGCTCAAGACCATGGTCTCAGATTTGGAGGCACTGATCCTGGTCGCTTCACACTCAGCTGTGAACCACTCCAGTGAGAGCTGGAGATCACAATCTGATGAAGCCAATACGACCACATCATCTGCAAAAAGTAGAGATGTGATCCTAAGGTCACCAAAAGGATCCCCTCAACATCTTGGCTGCGCCTAGAAATTCTTTCCATAAAACTTATGAACAGAATTGGTGACAAAGGGCAACCTTGGCGGAGTCCAATTCTCACCGGAAACGAGTCCAACTTACTACCGGCAATGCAGACCAAGCTTTGGCACTGGTCATACAGGGACCTAACAACCCGTATCAATGGGCCTGGTACCCCATACTCCAGGAGTACCCCCCACAGGAGTCCCCGAAGGACATGGTCAAACGCCTTTTCCAAGTCCACAAAACACATGTAGACTGGTTGGGTGAACTCCCATGCACCCTCCAGGACCCTGGTGAGGGTGAAGAGCTGGTCCGCTGTTCCACGACCAGGAYAAAAACCACACTGCTCTTCCTGATTCCTAGATTCGACCATCCAACGGACCCTCCTCTCCAGAACCCCCGAATAGACTTTACCAGGGAGGCTCAGAAKTGTGATCCCCCTATAGTTAGAACACACTCTGCGGTCCCGCTTTTTAAATAGGGGGACCACCACCCCAGTCTGCCAATCCAGGGGTACTGCCCCCGATGTCCATGCGATATTGCAGAGTCGCGTAAACCAACACAACCCCACAACATCCAGAGCCTTAAGGAACTCCGGGCGAATCTCTTCAACCCCTGGCGCCTTGCCACTGAGGAACTTTTTAACCACCTCAGTGACCTCGGCACCAGAGATTGGAGAGTCYGACCCAGGGTCCTCAGGCTCTGCTTCCTCATGGGAAGACGTGTCAGTGAGATTGAGAGGTCTTCGAAGTATTCCACCACAACAACCTGAGTTGAAGTCAGCAGCACATCATCCCCACCATAAATAGTGTTGGTGGCGAACCGCTTTCCCACCCCTGAGACACCAGATGGTGGACCAGAATTGCCTCAAAGCCATATGGAAGTCTTTTTYCGTGGTCTCTCTGAACTCCTCCCATCCCCAAGTTTTTGCCTCAGCGACCACCCGAGCCGCAATCTGCTTGGACTGCCGATACCTATCTGCTGCTTCCTGATTCCCCAGGTCAAAAAGACCTGATAGGACTCCTTCTTTAGCCTGACAGCATCCCTCACCGCCGGTGTCCACCAGCGGGTTCGTGGGTTACCGCCAAGACAGGCACCAACAACCTTACGGCTACAGCTTAGGTAAGCCACCCTGACAATGGAGGTACGGAGCATGGCCTACTCGGACTCAATATCCCCCACCACCCCCCGATCATGTTCGAAGTTGCACCGTAGGTGTGAGTTGAAGCTCCGTCTGATGGGAGACTCTAACAGACGTTCCGAGCAGACCCTCATTATACGTTTGGGTCTGCCAGGTCTGACCGGCATCATCCCCCACCAACGGAGCCAACTCACCACCAGGTAGTGGTCAGTTGACAGCTCTGCCCCCTCTTCCCCCGGGTGTCCAAAACATGCTGCCGCAGTTCAGATGAAATGACAGCAAAGTCTGTCATTGAGCTGCGGCCTAGAGTGTCTTGGTGCCAAGAGCAAATATGGACACCTTATGTTTGAACATGGTGTTCATTATGGACAATCCATGACAAGCACAGAAGTCCAATAACAAAACACTGCTCGGGTTCGGATCAGGGGGGCCATTCCTCCCAACCACACATGTCAAGGTCTCACTGTCATTACCCACATGAGCATTGAAGTCCCCCAGCAGAACAAGGGAGTCCCCATTAGGAGCGCTCTCCAGCACCCCCTCCAAGGACTCCAGAAAGGGTGGGTAATCTGAACTGCTGTTAGGCGCACAGGCACAAACAACGGTCAGGATCCGTCCCCCCCACTCGTAGGCGGAGGGAGGCTACCCTCTCATTCACTGGGGTGAACCCCAATGTACAGGCACCAAGATGGGGGAGCAATAAGTATGCCCACTCCTGCTCGGTACCTCTCAGCATGGGCAACTCCAGAGTGAAAGAGTGTCCAAACCCTCTCTAGGAGACTGGTTCCAGAGCACAATGCGTTGAGATGAGTCAAACTATGTCTAGTTGGAACCTCTCAACCTCACACACCAGCTCAGGCTCCTTCCCCACCAAAGAGGTGACATTCCATGTCCCTAGAGCCAGCTTCTGTAGCCGAGGATCGGACCGCCAAGGTCCCCGCCTTCAACCACTGCCCAACACACATTGCACCCGACCCCTATGGCCCCTCCCACAGGTTGTGAGCCCATGGGAAGGGGGACCCACATCTCCTCTCCAGGCTGTGCCTGACTGGGCTCCATGGGCRAAAGTCCGGCCACCAGGCGCTTGCCAATGTGCCCCACCTCCAGGCCTGTCTCCAGAGTGGGGCCCCGGTGAACCGCGTCCGGGCAAGGGAACACCGAACCCATCCATCATATTCCTCATAGGGGTCTTTGGGCTGCACTTTGTCTGATCCCTCACCTAGGACCTGTTTGCCTTGTATGACCTTACTGGGGGCATGAAGCCCCCGACAACATAGCTCCTAGGATCATTGGGACACTCAAACCTCTCCACCACAATAAGGTGGAGGTAAATATGAAATCATATGGCTTAAAGTGCCTGTGACATCAAATTGTTGTAATAAATATGAATGATTTTTGGAAAGAGAACATTGAAAACACATTGTAAAAAAAACTCACGCTGCTGAGATGAGTAGTTGCTAAGATATTTGCATGTGAATTAACAGGAAGTGATATCAAAGGGGAATGTCTGAATGTGAACAGAGCATTACTACAATAAATAACCACACAGACTGTAGAGAAGAATCTGATGTTTCTTTAGATAATTTTCAATCACTATCATAGAGAGATGAAGAGTAAGAGTTCAAAAAAATTATAAATAAACAAAAACCAAGGAGTTCCTTTCTTAAAGAACTTCTCTTTGATGTCACTTCCTGCTTCACTTATACTGAGCCAAATGCAAAAGAACATATGCCAGTTATGTGACATGTATTATGCCAATTTTCTTAAATATAAAGGTGTTTTTTTACTTTTTGTATTTGATGGATATGTATGCCACATGCACTTTAAGTTGAAACGGACAATAATAAGTTTTGGAATAAATAGTTTTGGTTGTAGTTTGGTTTTGTCTTCAATATTAGCTAAGGATCAGTTTTTGAAAGCAATGGAAAAAATGTATTAAACTCCTGAAAATAGTCACATTGATTTGTTTTATATTTTATTGTGCTGAGAGATGCATTGACATCAATATAAAAATTCTGTTGGCCAACTCTTCCACACTTTTAGAGCAGTTTGGGTGTAAAGAAATAAAAGGTCAAGTGAGAGCCACCGCTGCTAATGAAACGCTTGTTTTCACCATGCAGACTTTTTGAGTGAGMACTCTTTTCTCCTGTGTATATTACCTTTTTCTGCCCCAGCTTCATCTCTCCTCTCCATCAGCAGATAACGAGGACTTTCAGGGAGGAAGGGCAGAACACACAGCTGCAGCACTGCCGGAAATGCCAGGAAGGAAAACAGGTAAATCCACCTGGACTCCTGCATTCAGAGCATGAACAGAAGAGCTGCATTAAAGCTCCAGACATAGAAGAGTTATGTTTAACTAAATACATGAATCCCACAGCTGTTATATTACATTTAGTTATTGTGTTTTCACAAAACAGCACAAAAGTCTTATTTAATATGTCAACACTTGGTGTAGGAGTGAAGAAAATTAACTAATGTGTTTCTTAATTAACCTATTTATGTAATAGATCTGAAAGTTTGTATGGTTTGAATGCTGTCTGCGTCGACAACTAAACAAATAAATTTTACATGGCTCAGATGGAAATGGGGAACTTCTAAACAATAATCATTTAAAGGATGTACATTTAAAGGAAACATACCATGCTTTTAAATCATTCCTTTCCTGGTTAAATCATTCATTTGGAGTTTATATAAAGCAGAACTGCAATGCTTTGGTCTGAATACCTCCTTATTGTAACTYCACAAGCCCCTCTTTCACCTCTGTTCTGAGGTGCATCTGAGAGCAACTGATTTGAGGGACTTCACGTCCCCTTCCTCCTCCAGGTCACTCCCAATGACCATTGTGCATTCCACCCCATTCTGTAATTTTTGTAGTTTGATAGCATAGACCCGATTATCAAGTGAAAACTTTGATTTACAAATGGATTAAAAACTGGCATCAAYGATGGACTTGTTCAACCAGCCTGACATGTTGGAGCCAGAGTCTGACCATGAGCCAGAGGAAAAGCATGAGGACGACCCTGAAAAAGCATGGATTCACGAAATTGGTAAGCCAGAAGTCCATGACCTTATTTAGTAGTTCTACAGCAAATACTGTGAAATTATTGTTCAAAAAACAATATGTAATAGAGAAAACTGAACGGGTTGAAAACTGAGACCCAAACAGAACATAAAGATATTTGGGCAGCACCGAGAGAGACTAAATTTACCATTTTTGCACTCCTAAAAACTCCAAGTACACAACAAAAATTTAAGGGTTAAATAAGTCAATTTTGCAGGAAAGAATCCAAAATATACATGACCCAAAAAAATGTCTGGACTAAATTCCACTCAAAGTAATTATTTACCATATTCTGGTATTTTTATGGAAGCAGGTTTTCTACATACAGCCATGAGAAAAAGATAGCAAAATTAGTCTGGCCTAGTCCATATACTGTAAAGAATGAAAGCCCTTTAGTGGCCCAGATGTGGTTTTGTCAGAGGTGGTCCATGCATGGGCCAGCACTACATAAACTAAACCACAACTGGGCCATTTGCGGCATACCATCATATAAAGAGTGCCATCATTGGCAGACCTGACCCACGCAAGCAGTACCAGCCTGACACCAGATCTGTCCCACGCCTGTCTGATATGAGGCCACCTTCTTTGAATCGGAATTATACCTTTACCAGTCGGTCAAATAATTTTGGGAGATGTTTGACCTTCTAACAGGCACAAACTGCACCATTTTGTGGATTGATGTGCTGTCAAGTTTAAAGTTTGTCGTAAAAACAAATTTACGGTATTTTAATACAAAAAAGGCAAAAAAAATTGTAATTGGAAAGTTTTTAGCATGCATGGTTTCGTCTGCATTAGCAGATCTATGCTTTCTGATCTAAGCTGAGCAAACAGAAGGATGATAATTGTGATTATGCAGACACTTGGAATGAGGTGCCCTTTGGATAGAAATGTCAGCTCCCAACCAATTAAAATATGTTTGGGATTACGATGCCTAACCTTTACAAGGGCTGTTTTAAAAAAAGTTGTAATATATTTATAATGGTGAAATAACTTCTCTGAATGTCTACTAATTATCTTATCTTCACAAGTTTATGTACGTATGTAGTCCATCTATTTAGTCAAAAATGTCATCAGACTAYGGTGGACACTACTTTTGCTGTATACTGTATTTAAATATGAAGCAAAAAGAAAATGATAAGCAGGATAATACATTCAGATCAAGAATTCAGTTTAAAATAGTTACCCTGTTTCTAAAACACTTATAATGATGCGGGCACATAATTCAGTTCTATGCCACAATCAAGTAAATACGTCACCTTCAGCTGTTGTGAAAAAGATGTATATATA